CGACTCAGTGCATTAGCTACTTCTGTTGAATCTTTCGAGGTTAATGGCTCAGCCTCTTTGTATCGACTAGCCACAACCACTACGGTTAAAGCGTATTTATACGTTTTGTGTCTTACCTTATCATGGGGGAGAAACAAGAGGTCAGCCTGATGAACTTCATTCGTTGTAAAAATATCAAACTTCTTCCTCGGTATATAACGCGATGCTGGTAAGTATATTTGCCACATCGCTTGTTTCTTCAACCAATCCTTGGCCACATCTTTAGATACTTTAGCCGCAGTGGCTAATTTTAGTATTGCTCCTATACCTTTTCAATATCCTCGTGGGCTATAGATACTTTTATTCATTATTAATTAATATTGATGAATCAGATTGTCATTTTGACATAAACAAATTCCATCTGTAGTCGTGGTATAGGTATATGAATCTGGCTCTAGTGGAAGTGAGCCAGAACCCCCATCATCTATACTACTCGCAGGAATACAATGAACTAATAATCTAGGGAAATGATATTTACAAGGGTTTTCAAAAGGACTTCATGAATATATATTTACTCATTTAGATGTTTGAGGCCATGTTAATTACAAAATGGGGACTATGAGACCATCTTGGATTTCTGAATGAGGTTATATTACTGGATGTTGTGCTGATCATCCACATCTAGTTTCATAAAGAACACTTATTAGTATGGGAAAATAGTCTTAAATAGGGTTAACTATCTAAATTTCGACCAATCAGATGACTCCATTCTGTTGCTATAGTAATAAAATATGCATTGTGTGCAAAATATATCAAAATATCTTTTAACGAAATCAAACAACTAAATTTCGAAAAATCAGTTGCCTGGGTTACATTGCCATTATGGTAAGAAATCCAATTCATTTGAGTCCTGAAATACATTAATTTTGTACCTAAATACCAAGTTTGAACGAAATCTCTGAATATTGATCAATCAGCTCTGCAGAAGCTGCTTTCGCCATGGAAGCAAGGTAGTAACGTAAATAAAGTCCTATTGTGTAGTGCCCCTAGGTACATCTTTGAACCAAGATTTAACAAAATCGGCTAAATGACATGTCAGTAGTGACCCATAAAGAAAATCTGTAAATAATGACCAGATTGTCATTGTTGAGAGGTTGTTTGAACTTGAAAGGTGCAGAGCACTCATACAAGTACCATGGCTTTACTATATGTTGTTCCTGAGAAAAGTTGAAGGAAGAATATATTCTATAACGAATAATTGGTCTTCATTTTATTTAGTACCTGTAGGCCATGGGCCTTTTTGTAAAAACGAAATACAATTTAGGTGCAAACAGTATAAAATACAACACATTTCTTTGCCTTTTTGTTGTTGAAAAAGCAGCTTCAACATAATTGCATATTATCAAAGTTGGAGTATTTGTGTTCTTACAACATTGGTGTAAAACAAGTACTTTGCTGTATTTATATTGATAATAGGTCCTTGCGATGACAGTAGTGTATTAAAATTCAGAATATTTGGAAAGATGTATGTAACTTAGATGGCTACAAGCTGGACAAATTAACAAAAAGTGATATTCGTTTTCGATTTGGCTTAAGTTACAAACTTTACATTTTCTAAATTCACAAGGAATATTGAAATGTCATCCATGTTCAATTTCTAAATTGTGAGAACTGAGCCGAAAAAGAGTCATTGTGGTCCTGAATTTATTTACAGTGACACAACTCAAATAGTTCTCACATTGAAATGGTTGTTTTAAACTGTGCACAATAAGCCATTTAGATAGATCGCTAAGCCAAATCTGAAAAAATTGTCATTTAACTGCTGACGTAACATATTTAAAAATATGGTTTTATTAACACATGTTTGAAAGTTCCAAGTTTTAAGTTTCGTTACCCATGCAATTTAGGCTGCCTTGTTCATGGTACAACCACAACATATTACCGCAGCACTCCATTACTTGAAGTTGATAACTTTACATTTAATATACATGTACTCATACAGGCATACAATTGAACTTTTTCTAATGGTTCTATGTCACTGAATCCCCAAATTTCAGCCCTGCTGTTATCTTTGCATCAAATAATTTGATGTTAAAGTGAGGCGAGTATGGTTTCAAAGAATTATACTACTCAAAAGGACCATGAACACCTTTCTTGCCTGAATTGCAATATTATTTAAGGCTTTCAGTAATCTATTGCTAAAATACAAGCCAAGATAACTGTATCCAGTGACTACTTTAACCGCATTTCAAATCATAATACCATTTTTCATACCTCCCCAATCTTAAAAACAATGGTTATTGTTTTCGATAGATTAACTGACATTTCCCATTTACAACAGTAATTACGCAAGAAATTTAACTTCCTTTGTAAGTTGTTGACAGCATCTCCAAACACATGGGTATAGGGCCTGTAACGCTCACCTGGATATTTACGCAATCATGACAAAATATATATTTGCATTGTGCATGTATATAATACTGCAAATATTTCGTAATTTTGACTTTGTCAGCATTTAAAATCAGTGAATGGCAAATCTGAGAGCATGAACGTGTATTTCTCTAGATACAAATGTAGCAAAAAGATCTGAACCATTTGCATGTTATGATCCAGGATGTAAGTTTCCAGAGGCAAGGCTGGACCCCAGGGCAAATCCTATTGGCATAAATGCATTATTTTCTTCATAATAGACAAATGTATACAATGTATCTGTTTATTATAGGGTGGGGATAATATCGGTTTGCATGTTATGGTCAAGGTTCTAACTCCTTTGGGAATGCCTGACAGATGAACAGAAGGGCCAGTCCTGGTAGCATATGTGCATTCCTCTCATTATACTCAGCAATTGTACATATGGTTATATGGTGGGGATCTTAATTATGTCCAAGTCATAAACTCTTTCTTACCTGCCCCCCCCCCCTTCTTGGAATACTTCCAACCAAATATGGTTGATGTCCATCTTTTAGTTCCAGAGAAAAAGTCGTTTGAAGCAATATAGCCAAATTACCACTATTTGGCACCGCCCCTCAGCCCCTTTTGGGGTCAGCCCCTCTTTTGTACAATTTTTTGAATCCTCACCACAGGATAATGTTTACAACTAAATATGGACAAGTACAAGGAGCCACCCCCCCCCCCACACACACACACACATGCATGCCTGTCGCTACATACGTATGATATTCTTGGACGTGACGTATAATAATCTTGGACGTGACGTTAAACCCCATTTCATCTCACCTCACCATGAATACCATTCTGTTCAGAATACAAGGAAATAATCCCCCAACCCACTGACATAATCCTTAATGTAAATCTTTTTATATTAAAAGTAATTTTTACATTAAGGGTTGTAACAAAGCACATTCCTTGGAATGTCGACCCTTGTCATATCGATCCGTAGAATGTCGACCCTCTGAAGAGTGTCGACCCTCTGAAGAGTGTCGACCCTTGGAACATAGATCTGACGAATGTCGACCCTTAGATGGTAGACCCTGGTTCGATGTCGACCTCTCTGTAGAATGTCGAGCCTTCGAAGTCGACTCTGAATGTTGACCTTTGTCTCCATGTTGATCTTCCTTGGGTCAAAATCGCTCTCTACTCTTCCAATGTCCTGTCGGCGCTGTCGCTATCAGACTGCTAGAGTCGATATTAGTCACAATAGGTGGAACCGTAGTAATTAGATCGATCGGAGTAGACATGAGGCTGGTCAGAGTGGGATCGACTGGTTGAACTACAACCTCCAAAGTCTATGAATGACTTCCAATAGATAGGGTTTGAGTAGATGTACATATCTAGGGAGACTGGTTTAAATTAACTGCAAGCACCATACGTGTTGACTGGGATTGCTGATGACTTTGTTGTGCAAAAAACTATCCGATACTGTACCTTCTTCCACTGAGAGAGAAGTGATCGTGGCTGGTGTTGGTTGCTTATCAACAGTTTTTACAGATGGACGACTGATAGTCTTTGTCACATAATTTTGATCAGTGATCAATGCCTCTCTTCTGGCATTTCTTAAGAGATGTCAGTGAATGCCTCCTGGGACAAGATAGTGCATTCGGAACACTGTAAACCTGGCTGACAGACGCCCCAACAGTCACAGCATAATTTGTGAGGATCCGCTGGCGAAAAAATGTGGCGACGCTTCTTGCAAGCTGGCCATTTTGCTTGATTGTTGCCCTTATCTTAGGCATAAGAAATGCGCCAAACTCCCATAATTTTGAGAAAAAGAAAGGCCTAAATATTCTCTCTAAAAAAATAGCTCCTCTATACAGGGAGGCGAAGGGAAAGAGCATGATGAGACAGAGGTCAAGTGGCCAGATTGAGGTCAGCATGCTGCACTAGATGAGATATGGATGCATGACCTGATTGCTGGGATGGTCGCCATGGTGATGCAGGGTGTTTGGGTGAATAGAACCTTTGAAGTTCAAGGATGTTTCCATAAAAGGGATCGGAAGAAGAAGGATAAAATGCATAGAGTGAGATAAGATAAGTTTAAAAATTAGATATTATACATTACTCTTTTACATCTTTTTAGATTTACATGTACAATCAATCAAGTTCATTGGCATTAGACCAAGCAATAAATGAGGATATCAATATTGCAAAGAAAACATGTATTGTATTGCACTAGAAGCTCTTCCCTCAAGAAAATATTCTCTTTCGAACAGTAGCTTTAATTGATTTACTGATAGATTATAACAGGCCCTCGTATTGTTTAGGTAGTCTGATACATGAAAGTTCCTGAAACTGTTTGGATTTTTTTCAAATGTTACAAGCTGGCACACTGAGTCGTGGTCACAGGAAATCCCATTTCAGAAAATAGTTCCAGATCACAAGTGTTGTCTGCAGTTATCAAATAATAAACTTTGATTCCACGTCAGCCAATCAGAATTGCGGAAAAGAGAATAAACCAAGATTTTTATACAGTAATTCTTTTTTTTTCATGTGAAAGTGAATTGGTAGGCGGGATTTCTGAAAGTGGAGTCTGTACAATATCTATTGATATTTTCAAACAGTACCTAAATTACTGGAGACTTGCTCAAATTCCTTCAAATTTGAACTAGAATTTGTCTGTAGAAACGATTCCTCCTCAGATGTTAGAGTCTCTCCAAGTTTCTTCAGAGCTGTCATTATTTCCACAGACTGTAGTGTTTCCATTTCCTTGCTGATCTTACCAATTTTTGCATCTCTGTTAATCTGCAGAAAGGAGAAACAAAACATAAGATTAACTAAAATGGTGTCTCCATCACAATTTATTCATGAATGCCCAAAACTTTCCATGCAGAAACATGTACAATTGTAAGATATTACACAAGCTTCAAATTGATATCAAGTTTATGTCCCGCATGAAATAATTTTCATTTTACCTGAGGGAAAACTGAAATCTATTTCACTTGGGACTTAAACTTGATATAAAATTGAAGTGAGGGTAATATTTTATTTATTATCACAGATGTAATTTGAAGAGGCATCATCCAAAACAAACAGATTCAGTAGTGTCTATATAAAAACTGAGAAAATGATGAAGGTTACAACAGTGATGTCACGGTGCTGTCAAAAACAGTTGTTTTGTTTTGCTTCAAACATATTTTATCAAAATTTGAAATGGATTGGGAACACGTTATCCACCTTGACTCCCGCTCCATGGTATTTACAAAAGCTTGTACAGTAAATCCTATACAAGGAAAACAGAAAATAAAATAAGTGTGTAGGTACAAAAGGAATGTACAAAAGAAGGACTAGTATTTACATTCATGAGTTACCCAAATCTCTTTGCATGATTTATAAACACTAACCTTCATTTCAGTTTAACATCAGCCCTGAATCTAATTCAATATTTTTGTTCGTGGCATTCTGTAAATTTCCCAAATTATTAACATAAATTTTCTTTGGTGAATATACAATGAACACTCTAACAAATCATAATATTAGTTTTCACATGGATTACCACATTGACATATTGGATCACATTTTATCTGTGTTCTGTATAAATCATAATAATTTAAGTGGCTTTTCATGTACCTTAATCGAGTATGATAAATCTTTAACTTTCTGACACCATAGGAAAAATATGAAGGTGCAACACATTGCTCTTTCTGTATTGTATGACTTGAACTAGAATATAGATGTACAATTTCTACCTGCTAAAGCTATAGTGTCCCATAACCTTACAGTTAAATTTGTGGTACAATATATTGAATTACTTTTTTCCTTGACTGATTTAGGATTCTTGAGTTTCCATGGCATGCTCTTTTGCTTTATTTAAGATCAAAGTGTAAAGCTTCTTTTCTTTTTACAAATACTGATATCTATATTTTATTTAGACTGCAAATGTAAGGTGATCTTGTGGTCATGACCCCAATCACAGATACTTGTACATACATTAGCTGAGGTGATTTTCACAGCAACAAATTGGATAGAACAGAATCAAACACAATCATGTGTCGGCCAAAATGACCTTCAGGAAACCTCATAACCAACTAATGTTTAATGCGTGTCAAGTATCCCATAATGTTTGGTAATAAGTTTCATTCTGAATATGATGTGAAATAGTCTGGACAAAATTGTTTTGTTATGAAATATTTCCTATGATAAACAAAGTCCTTCACAAATATTAAGTCATTAGGTATTTTTGTCACACAGTGACTGGTTCTTGATGTGTGAACGATTATGCACATTGTAAAAAAAATACGCTTTTTGAGATGGAAATAAAATCAACAGAACCCTTTCCATAATTATCCTCTTTTCCATTCCATTCTGACTATATCATAAGCATGTGTTTATGAATCATACCAGGTTTAGAGCGTATCCACCACAAACACATGCAAATGCAAGTCAGGTATTAGCAAGTCAAAGACATACATGTACAACTGAAATAACACAACTTTATACGAAGCTAATGAAATAAACTGGTTTGGTGTACTAGAAGGAGGCACTGGGATATACATGCATATATTTACATAGATTTATCAGACTGATTATGACTAGATTTGATTGCGAAATTTAAATCAATAAGACATATATTTCTTAGAATTGATGAGTACATGTAAATCTTCAATGAACTGCTATTTGAGTGTCTTCGGGATTTATAACATGGTGCCTCGATTTGATTTCAGTTGGGGGCACAGGAGGCCAAGTCTTCTGAGGCGCCACGATTCGCTGTGTATAGTTGTATGATTGTTGGTTTGAAACCTGGTTCGCCCCAATTATGTTTCTAGGTTTGTCAGCACCATACCCGTGCTCATGGGTTTCACCGAAGTGGTAAACGTCTGAGACCTGCATCACTTCGGGCTTTCTTCCTACATTAATCTGACACGCTGTGACAAAACTGGAATACAGTTAAAAGTGGTGCTAAACCCAACTCACTCACTCACTCACTGATTTCAGTGATTCGTTCTGATGAGCAGTGTCCCATTCTAACTATCCACTTAGTATACCTGTGTCAGTGTTAAATACATTTCAATGTTCTAAAACAGATAGTTAAACATTTGGTACACATAGGCATCGACCCATTTGATGGGGACATTTCATAATTTCATAAATCAATTTCTGAACTGGTCTAACAGGGTTTATTTTGTAAAGCATGTACATAGCAAAAGTGTCAGTTTAAGGTAGGTATATAATGTACAGGCTTTGCCTTAAATATAAGCAATATATTATAAAAGCAATACACAGACTTCTTTCTTTAGAAACACAAGTATGTATTTAAAAGAATATCCTTGAAAGGGGGCCTGGGGGAATATTATCTGGGATGGTAGGTGGCAACACTTATAGTTGCTTATGGTGTTGTTACGATATAACAAGCCAATTGGACCTATCCGATAACACACTCACGAGTAATCAGAACCTCTCTAGTTTCCTGAACATATGTTCGAGCTCAAATTAATGAAGTGAATTATTTACAAATATCAAACGATGCATGGAACCAATATTGCCCATATCTTCTCTATCCAGGGATAATTTACCAGAAACAATGTCAAAAGAAAACCAAATCACTCTATTGCGAAAAGTGTTCTTGTAAAAAGATAACCAATGATGCGTATTGATTGGTAAAACAATAGAGGATTATAGGGGCTGTCACCTAAGAAGAAAAACAATAGGGTGCCTGAAAACGCCCTGAAGACCACCCTATGCCTGCTAAGGATGGCCGGACAACCATTCAGCAATATCATGACACTGTGTCAAATGTTTCCATACTCATACCAGCATACATGCATCCACCTTGAATACTTACACAACCATCACACGATATCTTCGCCAATCCTCGTATCTCCATGCACACACACACATCATTATTCTCCTCCATACCACTACATTCATCACACTATATCTACGTCAGCCCCAATGTATCAGTGCTTATATACATACACCCTCCTCCCAGCCCACCCGCAATCCCCCTACATTCATCACACTATATCTACCTTAGCCTTCATGTATTCATGCGTATGCTTTCATACATACACACCCCTCTCATCATACCCTAAAATCAATCACACTATAACTATATCCGCCCTCATGTATCCCTCGTACACATGCTTACATACATACACAACCCTCTCACCATACATCACACTATAACTATATCCGCCCTCATGTATCCCTCGTACACATGCTTACATACATACACAACCCTCTCACCATACATCACACTATAACTATATCCGCCCTCATGTATCCCTCGTACACATGCTTACATACATACACAACCCTCTCACCATACATCACACTATAACTATATCCGCCCTCATGTATCCCTCGTACTCATGCTTACATACATACACACCCCTCTCACCATAACATCCCACTATAACTATATCTGCCCTCATGTATCCCTCATACTCATGCTTACATACATACACACCCCTCTCACCATAACATCCCACTATAACTATATCCGCCCTCATGTATCCCTCGTACTCATGCTTACATACATACACACCCCTCTCACCATACATCACACTATAACTATATCCACCCTCAAGTATCCCTCGTACTCATGCTTTCATACATGCACACCCCTCTCACCATACATCAATCCCACTATTACTACATCCGCCCTCATGTATCCCTCGTACTCATGCTTACATACATACACACCCCTCTCACCATACATCCCACTATAACTATATCCACCCTCAAGTATCCCTCGTACTCATGCTTTCATACATGCACACCCCTCTCACCATACATCCCACTATAAGTATATCTGCCCTCATGTATCCCTCATACTCATGCTTACATACATACACACCCCTCTCACCATACATCAATCCCACTATAACTATATCCGCCCTCATGTATCCCTCATACTCATGCTTACATACATACACACCCCTCTCACCATACATCAATCCCACTATAACTATATCCGCCCTCATGTATCCCTCATACTCATGCTTACATACATACACACCCCTCTCACCATACATCCCACTATAACTATATCCACCCTCAAGTGTCCCTCGTACTCATGCTTTCATACATGCACACCCCTCTCACCATACATCCCACTATAAGTATATCTGCCCTCATGTATCCCTCATACTCATGCTTACATACATACACACCCCTCTCACCATACATCCAACTATAACTATATCCGCCCTCATGTATCCCTCATACTCATGCTTACATACATACACACCCCTCTCACCATACATCAATCCCACTATAACTATATCCGCCCTCATGTATCCCTCATACTCATGCTTACATACATACACACCCCTCTCACCATACATCCCACTATAACTATATCCACCCTCAAGTATCCCTCGTACTCATGCTTTCATACATGCACACCCCTCTCACCATACATCCCACTATAAGTATATCTGCCCTCATGTATCCCTCATACTCATGCTTACATACATACACACCCCTCTCACCATACATCCAACTATAACTATATCCGCCCTCATGTATCCCTCATACTCATGCTTACATACATACACACCCCTCTCACCATACATCAATCCCACTATAACTATATCCGCCCTCATGTATCCCTCATACTCATGCTTACATACATACACACCCCTCTCACCATACATCCCACTATAACTATATCCACCCTCAAGTATCCCTCGTACTCATGCTTTCATACATGCACACCCCTCTCACCATACATCCCACTATAAGTATATCTGCCCTCATGTATCCCTCATACTCATGCTTACATACATACACACCCCTCT